AGGACAATGGCCAAGATCTGAAACATAATTGTAGATCTCTGACCCCACCAACACATCCACATCCCCAAAGTGACTGGGCAGCATTACATCTGAGGGATGAATCTGGGAGGACACGTGGACACTAGGAAAGGGCATACTGTACTTCACTGACCTCTGTCAAGCAGCACAGCACCTGCAGGCACATCAGGGTGAATAAAACCCAGGGAAGAGGGTCTGATGTGGAGTGCAATCCAATGGGGCAGGTAGTGGCTTACAGATACAGGTAAAGAGGGTTTGCTAGCAGAACAGTGCACCTAACCTGGACTTCAGCCTGCATTTTTGTCCACCTACACTTGGTGAGAGGCAGATCTCGTGAGCACAAAATAAAATGGCCATTGCCTTGCAAAAACTAGCTACGACCCTAAGCAAACTTCCAAGACTAAGAAGGAAAGCTTGACTAAAACTATCCCAGACCCCCATCTGCATTTAGTACTGACATAATTGTCAGCTCTCTCCTCATTGTCAGCTGATTTCACCATGGTCTTGAACAGAAGAATCCTGTGTGGCCCAAGAATAGCATGCTGTCTGGGAAGCAGAGCTCATCACGGTTACATGGGATCCACCGTGGAAGAAATTATGCAGATTTCATAAGGATGTGAGCTTCCTCCCTGCAACACTCAGTGGTTTTGGTGACGTTTCTAGTTTGAGCATGTGGTTGGGACAACAGAGGTCCTGCATTTTTGCCCGTACTGGAAGACTGCCAATGCTCTTCACAGCTTCCTCCCTGTTCTGATCTTACAGTTGCCCGGTCTAGGGACTTGTCATAGATCCCAACACAGACCCCACAAACGTATGTGCTTGCGTATCACAGGAAGAAAATGTGAGAGGACCTGGGCCATGCATGGATTTTGTCCTGACAAGGAGTGATGACTTGGCCAGGATATACGCCCCAGCCCAGAAGCTGTCAAACATTCCCAGGTTCTTCAGTTTATGCATAGTTCTGGTGACCCACCTCAAAAGTGTATGTGAAGAAGGGTCTCAAATTTACTTAATGCTTTCACCTTCCAGAACTCTCATATTCAGTGGCAAAACAGCTCTTCAAAGGCTGCACTGACAGACCTACTAATATCTCAGGTTATGCCACTGGTCTCCTGTGCACGTACGGCTTATCTGTACAAGTATAACAAGTCCGATGCATCCCAGCTACTTCCAGCCGATTACACACACAGCGGAGCTGGCAAGGACAGGGGCAGCAAATGCAATACATCAAGAACACAGTGGGCAGGCTGCAAAACAGCCATTTCCAGACCCAGGGTCTTTTCAGAGTCTCAAAGCTGCAGCTTACCACCCGAAGCATTAGGGCTGTCAGGTCTGCATCAAAGACACAGCAAAACATACAGTGCTATTTAACACCCACTTCAAATAAAACAGTTTTTGTGATTATAGTCATTTAGGAAAGCCCTGCAGCTTGGGGAGTGGGGAAGCATGCTCTGGACACTGTTTTTGGGTCCTGAGGTAATGGAGACACTGTAAATAGATGTCTGATAAGAATCTGTCACCAGATTAATCAGGATCTTTGCAAGCTGTAACTTAAAACACCTACCCTGCTTAACCACTAGAATTTAAAGGGACAACACTCATATATATAATGTTATTTTCAGTCACGTTTTGCATTCATGCAATTAGTGTCAACTAATTGATGAGCTGGTTCACCAGTATAACAAATAGTGCTCTACATTATCTGTTATTCTTCAGGTAATATTCCACATCTAATCACTGCTCACTTCATGAATCTAGTATCTCTTCAGAGTACTAATCTACATTAGAAAAACACTGTTGAAGCCTCTTTAATTTGAAAATGATATGGCAATATAGTGTTAGAATATAAAAACAATTTCTTCAAGTATGCAAGATTTTATGTCCATTATTGTAACATGTTCTTCCCAAACTAAATTTTTACTGTCACAATAATCTAAGCAAAAGCTTAGGTGTGTTTTATCTTACATTTCTTACACACACATTAATTCTGGCTTCTGCTTCTGCGACCTGAGGTAGCTGCCTTTGTCAAAAAGGGGAGGGAAAAACCAGTTAATTGCAATTAACCTGCAACCTTCTGTGCTTCTAAAGAATAGAAGTCCTCCTGTACAGACAGGACGGTTTCTGTCGTGACTGCAATAAACTAGGCCACTGGGTTCAATCCTCAAGTTTCCTTGACCTACTAAATTTACAGTAGTTTCAATGTTTGTTCCTTCCAGCCTGCTAACTCACTGTTGCAAAAAAAAACCCCAAACACACCAACAAAAATCCAGAAACACATATTTAGAGTCCTGCTGCTTCACAGCCTTTATAAGAAGTTAATAAGCAGAAAATGAAGCATTATAATTAGAAATGGAACCAAGCAAATAAAGTTTAGATTCATATCTATACGTTTTATAGCCGTGCTCCTGATCCAAGCCCGGCTCTAATTACAGTGGAAGCTCTTTCCTTCCGGAGAGGACTTTTGCACTGAGGCTCAGAGGGACATTCAGGCCCTTTGCTATTTCAGCCAGGTAACCCGGTGCAGGGGTTGCACACGGATGCTTTGGGAATTGTTTGTCCCCAGAATGAGTACACAGGCCTGTCAGAAGGGGGGCAAGCACCTTCTGTTCCCCTCTATTCCTCTACCAGTGAATTCTTGCTTGCACAGGAATGAGGCGCTCTGTGCACGTATCTTATTTATTTGGTAACACTGTGTGTTTCTGCTCGTGTCCTCCACCCAAGGAATGGTACAGCATGTAACTACAGGGTCTCGCTGAGCATCTTTATGAACCTGGCTATGAAGGAAGTGGGAATCAGTAGTGTAACAACAGAGTCCCATGGATATGGGTGAAAAAAAGGGGATCGGGCAATTATTCCCTATAGGATGAACTGTAAATGGCATCAGAAGCATAAAATGAATAAACCATCAGGGTTGTAAGAGAAACTCCAAGGTCATTTGGTCCAACTACATGCTCAAAGGAGGGCTGACCTCGAAGTCAGACCCAAGCAATCCTGCCGTGCGTCATTCCTTGCAGAAAACGACAGGGAACTCAACACCGGTGCATGTTGTGCTGTGACACAGAGCAAAATGCTCTCTGCAGTCCACAGTGCAATGAAATGTGAAAAGCACGGGGTAGCTTTACTCCAAGGGGATGCGGAGATCGCAGGAGCTCGAAGGCCCTCAGCAGCACTGCTGGGAGGGGCCATGCTCTACATCCCATGGCAGCTGAGACACTACATGGCTGCGGAGAGCCTGTCCTGCTCCGCCTGGGTGTTGCTGATGTATCCAGCTCTGTCACCTATCACAAAATACGTTAAGAGTCAAAAAGCATATAGGTAAATTTAAAGACAACTTATTTTCCATTGTGCTCTCGGAGAGAAGAAAATACTTTTGTTTCCTCTTTCATTTTGCACCCCAATCAGGGGGCCACCATCACAAATGGGAAGGAATAGGTTGTTAGTGCCACGGGAAGCACTGGCGTGCTGGTTGCAGGCACCGGCGTGCGGTGGGTCCACTGACCCACCAGCAGCCCCGCTGTGCCCTTTCCACTGAATCCTGGAGGCAGCATGTCCAAATCAGTATTTTCATGCACACTGCCGCAATTTTTTCCATGTACAGTTTAGCCACACGTTTTTGGTTTAGAAGCCCTTTAAGTATTTGATCATAGGATGTCAAGGACATTTGACTTAAGAAGTGGAGGAAACTAGAAACCACACAAACGCTATGA